AACAAGAACTACCAAGTCGTCAAAGAATGATCCGACAGTCACTTCGTCGCAGCCCGCAATATTGTGTATCCAGAGCCAGAAGCCAGGCAACACAGTTGACCAATTTGTCACGGCTCTGCAAGCCCTGGCAGAAGGGTAAGACTTTTAAGACTACAAAGAGCAGATCATTCATGACCATTTCGTCATCAGACTTTGGTACGCAAAACTCTCCGAAACCCTCCAGATCGATGCAGACCTCACGCTGTCGGCCACGCTTGCCAAAGAGCGACTCAAGGAAACTGTCCAGCAGCAACAGCAGGAACTTAGACCGGGAGTCGGTGACAATGCAGTCATCTCAGTAGCGGAAATGGAAGTGGACTTTGTCGCCAAGAAGCTCAGCTCGACAGAGGGTTGATACAAGACGCAAGACGCAACTTGTTACGGTGTCGCGACGCCTCAACAAGGCAGCGGCCAGCGGCGTTTGTTCTGCGGGCAAGTGTCACATCCCAAGTCAGCAAAGTGTTACCACTGCAAGATAAAAGGACACTTCAGCGTGGTCTGCAGCAAAAGCCGTCACTTCTAGGAAGGTAGGACTTTCATTGCTTCAAACGGACAATGGGGGGCATTTCCTCGGGTCTGTTGGCAATGATTCAGCGAAAGCCAGGTTCATTCAGGGCTTTATTAATGACACCCCTGTTTTCACGAAGGTATACAATCTACATTTCCTGGCATCTTGTCAAGACTAGAAGGAACAGATGCTGTGTTGACAGGTTCTAGCGACGAATGCCTAAAGGTTCTGGGAAAGGTCCCTGCAAACATCCACTGGAAACAGGCAACGATAAGGCAAATGGTATATGTCGTTGCACTCAGTACTCTTGGGACTTCCAGCGGTGGAGGAACTAGGAGTAGTAAAATTTGTGAATGAAGTGGGATCTAGCGAAGCTTTTGAGTCTCCCTACCCTCAGCTGCTCCAGGGCCTAGGAACTTTCACAGGAGAGTACACTATACGCCTTAAGCCGGACCCTGTACCGCACTCAGCCCATGTGGCGCGTCGAGTTCCCATTCCGATGAGGGACACGGTCAAGCCCAAACACAAAAACATGGAACGTCAGGGGGTGATACAAAGGGTAGAAGGGTCAACTGTGTGGTGCGCTGGAATAGTTCCAGTTTTGAAACCCCCGGGCAGTGTTCACATTTGTGTCAACCTAACTCAGCCGAATCTATGTGTTTTCAGGGAGCATTATGTATGTACTGCCCACCGTCGATGACACTGCTAGTCTCTTTAGTGGGGCAGCAGTTTTCTCAAAACTAGATGCCAACTAAGGGTTCTATCGAGTCAAACTGTCCAAAGAGAGCAAGTTCTTAACCACCTTCGTAACTCCCTACGGCAGATACCGCTTTGAACGTCTACCTTTCAGTAACACTTTGGCACCCAAATATTTTCAAAAAAGAAAAGTCAGAAATCTTGGCGCGTGCACCGGGCGTTTTTAACCTGATAGATGACATCCTGGTTCATGGTGCGACAAAGGTCGAGCATGACAAGCACCTCAGGCAGACGCTTGAAACACTCGCACAGGTGGGCGTAATTTTGGACAAACCCAAATGTCGTTTCGGGGTCACGGAAAGTTCGTTTTTGGGTTGCCTCGTCAGCAAGGGTGGAATAAAACCCGATACGGACAAGGTAACCGCTATAACAAACCTAGAAACGCCCCGAAACGTAGCTGACGAGCGTAGGTTTCTCAGCATGGCTAATCACCTCGCACAATTTCTCCCAAATCTGTCGGGAACGAGTGCTCCGTTGCGGCAACTACTGCAAAAGGGTAAGGAGTGTACATGGAGTCCAGCCCAGGAAGATGCACTTGCTAGCATAAAAGAAATGATATGTCTAAACTGCTGCGTGGCTAAATATGACCAGCGGTACCCCACAATACACTCCGCGGACGCCTCTGTATTTGGTCTAGGAGCAGTATTGTTCCAAGAGCAAGAAAACAATGAACGCTGCCCAGAAGCGTTCACCTCAAGGTCTCTGGTAGAGTCACGTAAAGCTCAGATTGAGAAGGAGGCTCTTGCCTTGACTTGGGCGGTGGAGAAATTTGAGGGACATCTGAGAGCGCTCGAAGTGCATTTTGAAACAGATCACAACCCCATGGTGACCTTGACAACGAAAGCTCCACTTGACTTGCTTCCTCTGTGAGTTCAGTGGTCTTGAATGAGGCTCATGTGCTTCAGTTTTAGCATTGTCTGTGTGCCCGGAAAGAACCTCGTCACTGCGGATGCCCTGTCGAGAGCACCCCTTCGAGAGAGGTGAACAGATTCGAGTGGAATGACGGTATTGGATTTCACAAATTTTGTGGAAGGCTGCACTGCTAGGGTGGCCGAAGTTAGTAACATTGAAAAATTAAAGCAAGGCCAGGCAGCAGATGACATCTTTCAAACTCTAGTTTGGTTCTGTCGGAAAGGATGGCCCACCTATAAGTTGCTGCTGGTTTTCTTAAACTGTACTGGCAGGCAAGAGCGACGGTCACCATTTGTAATAGAACACTGATGAAGGATACACGGCCCATTATTCCTCAGTGTTAAAGGGCCGAGGTGCTGCGTCACGTGCATGATGGCCATCAGGGAACTGTGAAATGTCGATTGAGGGCACGTGAGTCTGTGTGGTGGCCGGGTTTGAGCTCCGACCTTTCCTTTTTGGTAAACAACTGCCGGGTGTGTGCGGAATCACGCGAACAGAAGGCAGAACCTATGATTCAGACCGAAACGCCAAAACTGCCTTGGCGGAAGGTTAGTGTTGATCTGTGCCAAATTGACGGTGCAGACTACTTTGTAGTTGTAGACTAGCTGTCCTCATACCCAGAGCTAGCCCGCTCATAAGAATCACCAGAGGCATAGATAGAGAGAATGGTTCAAACCATAAAGAGCCTCATCAAAAAACGCTCGAGGTACACCTAAGCACTTCTTATGAGTTGTGAATGCGGGAGCATGCATGCCACTCTTCCGCTCCCTTTTCATCTGCTGATTCCGCAGCATCGCAGCAAGCTGGAGCCTAAGATTGTGAACCAGAACCTTGTTTGCCAAAAAGACCGTGCCGCAAAATCAAAGCAAAATTCGGAGGACACCTAAGCACTTCTTATGAGTTGCGAATGCGAAAGCATAAATGTCGTTCTTCCGCTCCCTCAGGTCGTCTGCAGCGTACTGGCGTGGACGGCCATGTTTCACTAATGCCGAAGTTGCGGCCGACGGCCGACCGCGTGCTCTCGTGAAGTGGCCGCGCCGCGCTGAGCTCAGCCGTGCAGCCCACTCCGGGACCTGCCTGTGCAGGCTCTGCTGGCCCGGGACACTGCACCGCCATGGAGGGGGCTTCTCTGGTGGCGTTCCTTGGAACTACGCCCTGTGAGAACCAATGGGAGCCTCGTTCCTTGAAATTATGGCGTGCGCCAGCCAATAGGAGCTTATCCATCAGATCGCTGCTACAGATGACAGGCTTGGCTCCATTGCGACAGGAGAGTTTAGGTGCGTTTGGCGTGACTTCAAAAGCTGATAACGCTGGTTTGCTCCATGGGACAGTTAATGCTTTCGTATTGAAACAGAGCTTCGATCACCGTCACACGGCTGGAGGCTACCTCCGCTGCGGCCAGGTGACCAAGTGTGGGTAAAAGACTGTAAAGAAGAGCCATAGCCTTATTACCTGCCAATTGGCAGAGGTCTTGCGTTCTTAGAATGCACGTGGGATTGGAAGCAGAACGAAACCAGAGACTTCTGTACCTCAAACAAACGAGGGCAGTTACGACATTCCCGGTGGCATTGAGTCGCGTAACAGAAGCACTAGTTTCTCTGGGTTGCAAGAAGAACAGGGTAGCAATTCTGATGAGGGTACTGAGTCACATAGCTCATTATACTGTGGTTCAACTCCCATTCATGTGATACGTTCGGGACGCGAGGTGCAAAAACCGCACTGCTATGGTGTTGCTTGATAACCTTTAGAGACTATGCATTATTGATTGTCAAATGTCCTGTCACTTTCCTTTGTTCTGTTATTGAGTGGCGCTCGTGCATGACATTATCTTACGTTCTCTTTGTGTATCAAGTGTCCAAAAAAAGAAAAAAAAAGGTAAATATGGTGTGTTGCCGAGCAAGTGCAACCACCTAGAGTCTCACGGTGTTTCATGTTGCCAGCGGACAGATGCACCGCTAGGTCAGAGTCAAAAGCCAGATCGGATTGACTAACGATGACATGATGTTTGAGAAAGATTGTGACCTGTTGTCAGGCGCCCAGGTGTATGTATTGAAGGAAGATGAATAAAGGGGGAGGCTCTTTGGTTGGTCTTTGGAATCTGAGCATGACACTGTCTAGCGTCGTTGGCCCGCACCGAGGCCCACCCCGACACCGACTATCATGCACATGGGGCAGCGCGTAAGCACCTTTTACTATCTCCTAAGATACACCTCCTACAACTATTCTACTAAAAGCAATGCTCCTAAAGCAAATGTCCAAAGCACATCAATTAAAGGCAAATTTCCTAAAAGCCCATCCATTAAAGGCAAATTTTCTAAAGCACATCTTTCAACAATGCAACAGCTGCCACCATCAATTGCAGCCTACTTTGTGTGGTTGTTTGCAATTTTCTAACGCAGAATGGGTTAAAAAATTGCCTAACCTTACCGTTTGCCACTTCGCACTCCTGTAATGAAAGAAAATGCGACTGCCAGCCAAATGCTGACGTAATGCTCGTCTATTCCCCGATTGAACTGCATGTCAAGCGAGTACCAGCAACAGTGCCACACAGTGAGGAACTACTCAATAAAAATTTAGAGCAACATATAGTGTCTGAAAGCCAAGTGCAAGGTTCCTTGAATTTTCGTGTACCTAAATTGTCAATCTAAAGAACATTTTGTGGTATGTTTTATGAAACAAAAATGAGTATGCAATGGATTAAAAGAAGCCACATCAAATTTTTTTGCACTTTCAAAACTAGGTAACTCTCTTTGATCAGGAAACCAAGCAGATGCATGCCACTCACATCGATTTCCAAGAAGCCCTGTCCTGTTCGGGCGGCAGCTTATGACCACCTCCTCGAACGAGACCGGCAGTCCCTCATGCTCGTCAGAGAAGTGCTTGTTCAGGGAAGCCTTGTTGAGGCAGCTGTAGGAGCACTGCTCACAGTAGAGCTCGGTAACCGGTGTTGGCCGCTGCGGGAGAGGCCTGGCAGCTGGAACGAAGACGACCCAACATGCTCAAGGAAACTTCGCTGCCACTAAGGTACTGCAGTTAGTGAACTCGTGTGTATGTGTGCTGCCCAGATTTCCCTCGGTGCCAGCGTTTTGTTAACCTTCGTGAACTTGTTTGCTGCTGAACTATGACTACAGCAGAAAATATATCTATTGCTATGTAGAGGTGACACAAAGTGTAAGGTATGTCATTTAAGTTACATTCCCAAAACAGACACAGTGAGCTGTTATTACTGGTTCAGAGTTTTCTCCTGAACGGCAGAAACGTCAGATTGTACCTCATTGAGTCTTGGCTTGTTTTGTAAGGGCTTGTTTACAAAATATGGCAACTCTCTTTTTTCTCACAGCCGCGGATGCTCCTAACCTTCCTTATGGTGAATTCTGCTCGCAGATTTCAAGTGCTCCAAAGGCATCCCTTTTGGAGCGAGCATATTCTGCTGGCAGATATGGCTCAAGTTGGTCATCTTCCACACATAGATTTCTGGCAGCACCCGCCTTGTGGAGTGCCTCCAACTCCACCAAACTTGATCCGTGGGATTTGAGGGAGCTTGGCGGAAGCGCGCTATGTCATTTCCTTTAGCTCGATGGTGCACATGCGCGGCGAGGTTTGCGAGGTAGGTCACCAAACCGGCCGGGCCGTCGAGTTGGATCTGTTCAGATGCATTGGTTGTTTACGCGGGATTGTGATGGCTCGAACACTTCTACCTCGCATAGATCAGGAATACGAAGCCGAAACTGGGGTGTGGGAAATTGTAAGCACTGACATCTGTGATCATGAGAGGAAGAATGAGAAAAAGAACAACAAAAAATCCAAAGGAGGCAGATGCAAGGTTAGCACTGCATGCCGCCAGCGTTTTCTCATGCAATAAAGCAATAACAAATCAGGCAACGACCGTGCAAGTGATGATTTGTCCCCTTTTCGTGTTTATTAAAGTCTTACCAGCAATCTGAACTCTATCAATGGCGATCGCTGTGCGTGCCCTGCTGCTTCGAGGCAGCCGAAAGGTATGTGACTGTAGCGAACGCAGACGTCTTCCTCGCTATTTGTGACACAGGCTCCATGGTACGGATATTTTAGCCTGGCCTATGTCGCATGTTATTTTTGCAGCTAAACAGTGACAGTTGTGACTGGTTGTTGGAAAGCTCAGTCGGCTAAGGCGTCGGTCGGCTTGGCAAACCGACCAACACTGCAGCGGCCATTTTGAACAGCCGACCGTCTTGGGTGGGTCGCTCCAAGAATGTGAGTCCATCTTCCGCCCACCAGTTTGGAGCAGGTCCCACGAAGCGACATTTTGCCTCCCTCGCGGATTGTGAAAAGCGCTATGAATCTACCAGTGGAATTCACCATTACTCTTCATTACAGTTCCCCCTTTCGAGAGACGCTGACACGACAAACCATTCGCACTATCCTCTTTGCACGCTCAACCTTTCCCACACCCCCTGCTGATATTTTGTCGCACACCACACTTCGTGCTATCAAAAACTCTCCCGTGAGGAGGACTAAAAAGCGTTAGTAAACTTTTAGAACAAGATTGGTCAATCAAAAGCCCACGGGTTCCAGCACGCAGCAATCTCAAGCCGAGAACCTTTTAACGGTAAAAGTGGTTTTGTTTTTACAAGAACTACACCTATACCAATTATGTTTTAGAATGCCTTAATATAAACAAGTTGAGGTTAAGAGTAGTAGCAGGTTGAAATCAAATATATACAACCAGTAATCATTGAACCAGTTCGTCATTCTTGTCCAGCTCACTTGCCCCTTTGCATTTAATTGCATTATAATCATATTTCACTTTTATAAAGCAGCTTTGAGCTCAGTCACTGCTTCAATAAAGTTTTTCAACCAACTTCCCCTAAACACAGCAACTGCAACTGCCACTACGACTAAGGGTCACCAACCCAATTCTGGCATTGGAAGCGAAACTGGAGCACTGTGGCCTCAAGAACCAACAACACCAACCCCAATGCAACACAGGCCCAAAAAGCCCAATGAAGAGAGCCTGCTGCCATAGTGAGGCTGCTAAAGGTATTTCCTAAAAAAACATTTTTCGTGGGTTCGCGAAGCCCTTGCCCCAAACCTCAACCTCCCTCCTCCCCCGCGTTTTCCTAGGAAAAAAAAAAAAGATTTTTGTGGCTTTGGTTAGGTGGCGTGAGCCACCTCCCGTTATAAAAGTACAGCCGTGACCACATATGCATTCATTCACTTGATGCTTCTCACTTCCTCTGTCTATAACAGTAAGGGGCACCCCTTTTCATGCAGCAATTAACCGTCTTATTTTATAACGCCCCCCCCCCCCTTTTCCTTCCCCGCTGGCATCGGATCCCCCATCACTTTGAAAGGTCCCCAAGGGGACCCTGACACATACACACTTCAGAACCACTGCCTTAAAGGGATTGTCCGGTCAAATTTTGTATTCGAGAAAATAATTGAATATCATTGGTATTGCCTCGAGATGCATCGTACGTCCAATATCTGAATTTTATATGCCCCTCTGCGTGAGTAATTCAATTTATACTGCTCCAATCGCATTCTAGCGTAAACGCTGCTTTCGTTGGCAACATTGAAGCTCTGACGTCACAAAACACAAAGCGAGCATTTTTGTCTCGTTGTTTGCCTGCAAGTGAACGCCTCAGCGTGCTTTGTTTTTGTTGTTGTGCTCGACTTGTTTCGTGGTTGGGTGATATTTTTGTTGCGCGGTTGGGTGCCACAACCACCAGGCAGCACATGCGAGCCAAGATATGACATTCCACACTTTTCTGCGAGACGTGCAGTGACGAGCAAAGTAGATCGACGTCATGCATAGGAACTGGGTTCCCGTCAAGATCGAGATCCCGCTTATGCAGCAATCATCTCACAGAAGAGAGCTACGAGCTGAGCTCTAAGCGGACAGAAGGCTTGTAAGTTGAGGTGTGATGCTGTGCCAACGATATTAAACTACGTCCACCCACTCCTCACCCAAATCAGATCAGTCAATTTAGGTCTGTTCGATTCACCTGAACTGGCTGAACTAGATCAGCAGTGCAGGAGCTGGTGCATTCGATTCAGCCGGAAGTTGCACGACCGCTGCATTGGCGCGTTCGATTCATCTTAGTTCTGAACGAGTTCAGACCCAGTTCGTCAAAATCTTGCACCGGCTCCGGACTCAGTTCAGCGTCCGTGCAGAAGCAGACGACAACAGCAGACGGCGATAGCAGACGACACTCCTCGTCCGTCTCAGCTCGCAGTGCCATTTTTCGCAGCTCTTGCTCAAATATCTCCGATGTTTAACAATAACGCCGATATAAGGAGGTTGCATTTCCTCTCATCTATGATAATAACGCACCCGCGGCGGATGCGGAATTGAGATCAAAACCGAGGCTAGGAATTCGCTTGATTATTAGTAAAGATGCTCTTTCTTCGAGATTGCGCCGGGACCCGACGACAGAGGCAGCTGATGGTCGCTGACGGAAGAGTAAACCAGACAGGACTCTGCGGATAGGGGGAAAAATAAAAACACGAGAACCCAAGGCAGGGCATCATACCTAAAAATGATCAGGTGAAGTGTTCTAAATGCAGGAAATTGGGGCACCTTTCTTGCAAATGTCCCCGGACGAAGAACTTCTGTTTCACAAGAAAAGAGTAGACGCCGAGAATGTCACTGTGGAGAAAGACTCCAGCCGTGAGCCCGACAAGGTGACGACCGATACGGGCAAGACCGACGGAAGCAACTTGGACCACCAAGGTCAGAAGAGGCCGCGCCCCTTGGTCCGCGAGATGGCTCAGATTCTGTTACAAGCAGATGACACGAGGCGGTCGTCAAAGAATAATCGCAGCTGCGTGTCTGTGCAGGCGCACAATGACGACAGAAAGGAGCTGAACGACTCGCGTGCCTGGAGGGCGTCCCAGCGAGCCGAGGATGACCACGACGAGCAGGTGAGCCTCGACGACGAAAGACCGTACACTTTGCCTGGGCAGCAGGCGTCCCGGCAATCTGAGGACGACGCATGGGTGAACTTTGACAACGTCGAGGCCATTCCCGACATCTCACCTTGGTTGCACAAGTTCGGGCAAGCCAAGGACGTCAACGTCACACGTTGAGAACATGGGCGTCGGTTACAGGAAAGAACCGAGAGTATCTCCTGGGAGGCGGGCGTTCCGGCAAGCCGAGGACGATGCCGGCGAGAACGTGGACAAGAATGAAGGACTGAATTTATCGCCTGGGCGGCAGGCGTTTTGGCGAGCCGAGGACGACGACGGTGAGAACGTGGACAACGACGTAGGACCAAACTTATCGCCTGGGCGGCAGGCGTTTCGGCGAACGGAGGATGACCACGACAAGAAAGAACCGAATATTTTGCTTTGGCGGCAGACATTCTGGCAAGCTGATAGTGACCACGGCAAGGAAGTGGGTGTCGACGAGAAGTCGGACATCTTGTTAGGGTGGCTGACGTCACAGCCGGCCGGTGAAGACGTCAGGGAAAGCAGGAACAGCGACGAGGACACCGTCTTCGAGATGGAGATGTCCCAGAATATAGCTAGGGACGCCGATGAAGACTCGACCACCTGCCAGCCAGCCACGTATGAGAGAGCTGGAAGTGCAGAAGACGTCGACAACAGCGACTGCCTACCAGGCCCATTCCTGATTCGTAAATCAAGACAGAGTATAAACTGTCGTCGCTCTTGCGTGGAGAAATTCTGGAACCAACTATACACCATCCGATTCAAGCCCCGCCGAAATCTGGGTGGCTTGAATAACCTGTCGGCAAAGAGACCGAGGCTAGGAGGCTAGATGCTGCGCTAGTCTCGGTGCGAGATTTGTCACTGCTTTGTAGCCTTGGCGGGCACAGTAAGAATCACTTTACTAGCATGTGATTGGCATATTGGTGTAAATTTCTTTTATAGTTTGAATTCTTGCGGGTTGAGTCACAAACTCTGAGCAATATGTGACTGATAGGCGTACGCGTTTGAGTTTAGTTATATATTATTTTTAACATTTCGGGT